CAGTACATTTTTTGATTGTTTTGTCAGATGAAGGCACTTTGTGTATTTGTGACATATGGAACAAGTGGCACATCTGCAGTTTTTTTCCTTTGGAATATCTTCTGAACAGCACCCCAACTTTTCTGGAATCACGTTATCAGACACACCCTCATGCTGTTTTGTATGCATTTTCCACTGCTCTAGAAAATCCACAAAGTGTAGACAGTCTTACTGAAAATGATTTCCACCAAAAAAACAGTCGTGACAAGCAGATTATCCTGAGGAACCATAGCATGTTTTATTAAAAGAAATAAAAGAAATAAATCACACATACTTTTATTTTTTACTCCCTGATAATGCATTAACAGGGCACGTCTGTACCCTTAAACTGGCAGAAATGTGTTGTGCAAGTTTAAAAGTTGCGTCACTTGTGGTAACCGGCATATCAATCAAAATCTACCCATCAGAAAAGGAAGAGCACAGACAAGCACGCAGAGATATTTAGACATGCTCTGTAGAGTCCAGCTGACTCACATGTGAATATATGCAGGATGTGCACACATTGCAATGTTCCCTGGTCGACATAAGATAAAAATTTAAAGATTTTAAATGAGATTTCTTTTTGATTTTATTTGTTCTTTAACACTTGTTACTTATACGTCTGAAATAAAAATGTGATTGATGTTTTTCATCAGCACCTTGCATGCATCAAAGGAATTTGGGTAAATGAGGAAACAGTTTTGGAATTTCACAAATTAAGAGACATTTAAAAAAACACTCCCAATAGTAATGCAGCAATCACAAAAGCAAATCTGGACGGTATAAAGGAAATATCTCAAAATCAAATTCATCTTCGTGCCTCATAAAGCAGCAGTGTAGCTGATGCAGGACCCGGGGGAGAGGCCCTAAACATGGCAGTTTTTCCTGACAAGCACTGCAGAGCCTGGGGAGATTTCAGGCAGACAGGAGAGCTTGAAGCAGTCTGCAGAGGCCTCCGGGGGGAAGCCGACTGGATAAATAGTTCACTTAGACTCTCTTGCTCTCTAAGAGGTCACCAAGGAAATATGGAAGGAAAATGGAGAGGCTTTATCCCACTCTCACAGGACTGCTGAATGTTTGCATATTAGACTGCTCTATGAATACTGCACACATCTGCTCCACAACTGAAATGATACGGTCCATCTTACTCATTCGTTCAATCTAAGAAACTACGGTCAAGGTCTTAAAAGTGCCCCTTGAATATAACCTTAAACCAAATCCTGAATGAATCTGTTGGAGGTGGATACTGGTTGCTGTAGCAACACAGATCTATTAAATATAAATGGATATTTGATATCAGTGACCTGAGATATGGCTCTGAACACTGCAAACTGCTCTCCACATGCCTACAGACTGCCAGACAGCATCTCCACCACTCCAATGATTGCTCAGAATGCGCACTCATGAAAACGGATACTTCTTTGACTCCCAAATGAATTCACTTGTTAATCAAAGACATGATACTGGTGTAAAACATCCTGCATCATGAAGACTAAGCGTCACATTTCACAGCGATACAAGTAGCAGTATTAATGGCTATACTGTGTATATTAAGGGTACAAATAAGGATATTTGTATTTGTTTCTTTAAAATATTTTTTTTATTAGTTATTGATATTTGCCAAATGGCCTCTCTACTGGATCCACAGTAATGTCATGAAATGTCTTGTTTGACATTATAAAATAATATATGCAATTTTGCTGGTGAGATTTTCACTTTGAATTTAAAGAAAACTGAAACTAAAGTAAAGTGATATTTTTTTAAGCCTTTTTGTGTTCAATTTGACGATTATGGCTACTCAAGATCTCACATAGTTGGAATATTCCATATGACTGATCAAAAAAATGACTTAATAAACAGAAACATTATATTTCTGAAAATACACTCAGTACTTTACCAGGGCTCATTTAGTGTAAGTGCATCAGTGCAGCATGGCATCAGCTTGTGGGACTGCTGAGGCGTCACTGAACCTCAGGTTGCTTTCGTAGCGGCCTTCAGCTCCTCTGTATTTTTTGAGCTGGGTGTTTCTCATCCTCCTCTTGACATTACCCCAAAGTTTAACCAGTAATAACACAGTCAGCAAACAACTTGATAATAGTTTTGGTTCTTTGAGCAGGTACTAATTCTTTATGGACAATAAAATCAGCATATCTATAAAGCTTCTCAGCATGGAGTAGATTTGATAAAATACAAAGGACCAACTATCACCAAGATCAGCAGATGACATGGCAACCAAAATCCTCACAAGCTTCACACTGGACTTCAAACACCGCAGACTTCAGGACCTTGACTTCCAAATGAAGTGCAAAATTTGACTTTGCTCTGAAAAGAAGACTTTAGTCAACCGAGCAGCATTTGAGCTCTTTTTCTCCCTAGACCAGCTAATACACCTCTCAGAATAAGACCGTGGCAGCTCCTTTCCTAAAGACATCTGTGTTTGACGGCTCTTGATGCTCTGACACCAGCCTCAGTACCCTGACTGTGAGCCTCGAATTGACATTTGTTGACGATGCTCTGGAATCCCTGTTGCTTTGATAGTGATGCATGTTTATTACCATATTTACCTTCCAGCCAAATGTTAAGAATGTTAAGCCAAAATGTTTTTTCTTTGATCATTGCTTATTCAGACATTCGGAAGACATGCCAAGTCTCTTACCTGTGTTGCTATATTGTTAAATTTGAACTTTAGCATGGGTCTAAACTTAAAACATCTTTTTCACTTATGTGTGAATTTAACAATGAGGTGCTGAATCCACAGACTGATTCTGCCATCAGAGTTAAGCCCTCAAGACAAACAGTGCCCTCCTGAGTTGGAAAGGGATCACTGCTCTGACTCTGTCCTCCGATTTCTTGCGCTTTAAAATGAGAATCTGTTAATCAGAGACACGATGTTTTCACGACTGTGGAGCATCAACTGTTCAAACAAAACTGAAGAAATGTTAAACTAGGAATTACATACCAGTTAAAACAACTTATTCTGTGACATAATGGTTCTTTAGACTCAAATACTGTTAAGCTTATTTTAAATCTTAACTCTGCGTTTGTTTATCCTAAGCCTAGACCTTGTGTGCTTTAATATTTTGTGTACCCAGGAGCACTGCCAAAACAAAACCTCATCAGCCTGCAATTAATGACAGCAAAATCAGGGACAAACACGGACTGAGCAGCAGTCTGTGTACTGTATTTGCTTTGTGGCTTTTGTCTAAGGCTTTCATCACAGCGCAATACACAGAGCAAACCTGGGCGGCAGATGTCGGCTAAATCCGACCGTTCAAACACGCTTCTACACCTATTCATCTAAAATCAGGACATGAGCTTCTCCTCTGCTGAAGCAGGAGCAGGAAGTCAGTGATTGTGCTTGTATTATATTATACACGCACGTAAATGCTGAGGGGGGAGAGGCGATCAAAGCCTTTGAGGCCTTTGTGTTTGCACAGAAGAGCAATATGTTGTCATCAAGCAATCATGGAAAGGCATTCGTAATCCCTGTGCATCTGTGTACAGCAGGCACTTCCTTTTAATTACATTGAGAAGTCTGCTGCAGCCAGCGTGTGTCACAGGATTTATTTTTTCTATAGATACTGCCACATCACAATGGGTCCTACACCATTGTTCTCTCCTTAAATCTATTTGAAAAGAAGTATAGCTGATGTTTTAGTACACTACAAATCATATGTATATGATCTCATTCCAATATAATTTACACTATAAACAATACCTGCAATGCATATAAAATGAACTTTAACCCCTGCCATGTTACCACTTTGACAAGGTCTGGAAAAAACAAATAACTTGTCACCCTCAGCTGAGAGGAAATGGGTTAGGAGGTTAGGTTACTGAGGAACAACTCAGGAAACACCAAGGCTCAAGCCTGCCATGAACTAAAAACTGCTCACACTGTCCACACTGAAGCAGGTCTTACATTGCCATGGACTAAGAGGGGGCTGACCAAGAAAAAAGCCCCTGCTCCAAAACAGACTCCTTCAGGCTCAACTGAAATTTGACAAACCATACGCCCTTTGAAGAAAGGTTTTCAGGTCAGGAGTAAAGCCGAGGCTTTCAAACCTGAAAACACTGCACCAAAGGTCAAGCATAAGTGGTGGTAGCATCACGGTCTGATGCTGTTATGCTGTTATTCTGCTGGTGTTATTGGTACACTGCACAAAGTGGATGGAAAAATGAACCAGGAGGACTACCCCTAAATTCTTCAATGTTACCTCAAAGCAGCAGCTAGACAGCTGAAACGTGTCGGTTCCAACAGGACAATGATCCCAAACAGACATTAAAACTTGTTTTGGAATAAATCAAGCTAACATTAAGTTTCTGGAACAGCTTTCCCAAAGCCTCGACTTCAACCCTACTGAAGATTTTTGGAACAAGGGGAATTTAATTAAATATTAGTGGAGGTGTATGTATGTATTTGGTACATTGTGTATACTTTTAACCCTGGGGATAAGAAAAAATCCCAAATAAATTTAAACGTACGTGTACTAAACTAGGTGTACTTCACAAGGCGAAGAAAAAAAACCCCCAAACTACAATGAAGGTTACTAAATTTGTGCTAATACACAAATTATATTTCCCTCTATGCAAATGACCTCATTTTAAGGTAGCAGAACTTTAAAATATAATCTACTAAAAATGTATTTTCACAAACTACACTGTTAGCATGCATATTAATTTCTATTTTAGTTGCAGACTATGCTAAAGTGGCATATCCCCACCTACACTGCAGGAAATTAGGTAAATATCTCAGTGGTAGGGCAGGTGTAAATAGATCATGAGCACAAGTTTTGACACCGAAGTTTCAGTTTTGTCATATTTAAATTCCTATTTTGGACTCTTTCTAAGCAGTGACAACCTCTGTACAGTTTTTATGTGACTGGATCCTTCCAGACATGTCTGCACTTTCTGTGACCACACTGAACTGCTCTGGTTTAATCCTATTACATGTCAAGCACAAAGGGACCTAAGAGGTTTATGTTTCACTTCCTTACAGAGTGAATCTCTCCCTCTTTCTCTGTCTCTCTTTCAAGACACCAGGAGAGCTATATATTTGATCATTTTGATTCTGTGCTGTTGCATCATCTGTCAAAATAAAGGCCAACTGATAATAAGATTGTCTGTGAGGGCTGAAGAGAAACTGATGATGAATGAAGATCAGGTGAAAGAGATAATCCAGAGATGGGTAAGTCAACAATATTGCGCCATGGCAACACATTTTAGCTGAGGCTATCGTACTCAGGATCTCCTCTCCTGATGTTGCAATGAAGTATGACCTTCAAGTGTGGGGAAAAATAGCATAACGGCTGACAGATTAGCTGCTAGCATTAGAGTATAGAAGAACTGGTGCGTTGGGTGACCCTGCCTTCATTATATCTCGTTTGATCCTCCTCACTCAGTAACATTACAAGAGGAAGTCCATGTTAAATAAATATATTTGTTTCTTAGGGTTTATGCAGGATATCCTGACATCTACTCACACTATACTAGCACTATCTACTGCTTCTGAGAGGAAACTCATGACTAAGCTCAATGGTGTTTATCAGCAATAGTAAACGAAAACATTATGACGTAATATACTGTGTCCTGTATTTAGAGAAATACTCAAGAAGACGATCTGAAGCCTGAGGACTACCAGCAGTTCAAGACTTTGGGATGTGCCAGTCTCAGTGAGGGTGAAAGTCAACAGCTCTTAAAATTCATACAAGATGAGAAAAACCAGGTATTCCTCGTCGTTGCCAACACAGCAGATCAGGGCAGCTGTTTCCTCCATAGAAGTTACACCTCACAGATAGGAAGTGACAGCAGATTGGCAGCGTTAATCTGCCATACAGCTCTAAAAGCACGGCTACACTGCAGAATCGTACCTACTGAAGCGAGCAGCCTCTTGCCTGCTACACAACTATGCTAAACATTAACATGCAGCTACCACTCTGTGCCTCCTAGCCTCTTGACCTGGAGGTGTGCTGGGAAAACAAGCAGATATTCAGTCAGATTTCTCGCTCCACTGATAACCCTCTTCAATACAGCGCTTCTCTAAGTGCCCTTGGTTGTCCCATCTCTCCACGCTCAGTGCAGTTATTTGTAGCCTACATTTAAAGCATGTGTCATCTCTCACTCCTTCCTCTTTCTGAGCTAAAACAATCTCAAGGGCTGCAAATGATTGATTATAAAATGAGAAATCCCTGGATTTTGACTTTCAAAACCATTGCCGAAAAAGAAGCCGCGCGGAAAAGAACAAATAGGTGAACTGACAGTCATGGGATTGCAGCTGTGCAACAAATGATTTTGATAAGAATCTTTATCCACAGATTATCTATATAGTCTAATGCCTTTTTAAAAATATTTTCAGAAGGTGAAACCTGCACCTTCTTCCACTCCTTTTTCGTGTGTGTGTGAGATCTGGTAGATCACACTTTAACCAGCAGTTGTGAAGATGAAACTGCACTTCTTTTGCATGCATCAGTTTATGCAGCGATGCATGCAAATGGAAAGGAAGGGGCTATCAAATTCATATGCCGACAGGGTCGCTTTTAAGGTTCCCGGTGACGTGTACTGATTGCCTATTGTTGCACTTGCAGGTTATTGTGAAATCTATGGGCTGTGTTATACTGGCACCTCTTCTAAACGAAGTTGTAAAAAAAGCTAAGGGTCTGGATCAATACCAAGCTGCCATCACACATCTGACCAGGGTAGGTGCAAGCAGTTCTTCTACATAGTGAAACACGCTCCCCGTGCATCACCTGAAACGTTGCATCTGTTCGTTAAGACTTGCAGGCCAAATGAACTCCTGGATTGCATGCTTGAAATAATTGAAGGCATTGATCCAGGTGCCATTTCCGAGACAATCCTAGCCCTTCTTCCGCATCTTCAATCAGGTAACACAACTAATCATGCAACAGTACTACTACTAAATCAACACAACAGTCTCGGCCATAAATTCTACCTCTACCATAGAAATAAACACAGCTTTTAGGAATAGCTGCAGATTCAGCCTGATTCACCATCATCCACTACAACGGCAATATTAAACTACAATTAACACCTTTTTTTGACAACATTTTTAGATTTGCAATAGTAAAAATGAATTTATGGTAGAATTGCTTTTATCGCATTAAACTGCACAGCCATGACCAATAATCAAATGATCCCCGTTAGGCCTGTTAACATTATCAATCGAACAGCTCGGTGGACGCGCTCAGGTCAGTGGAGTCGCTTGCTAGTTTATTAGGTGAGTGGGGAGAGTTGTTATTGCTGTTGTCTAAGCTGACATAAATGCAGTGGATAAAATAAGAAAAATTTAACACGATCCAAAAACACCTCAAACTAATCGGCCAAAATAACAATACGTTTGAATCGACAGTTTCAGCACTTTTGACAAACATTGAACACCTTTACCGTCATAGCACCCTTTTTTTTTTTTTGCAGGGTTCTTGTATTAGACAACATGTAGATCATGTGCATCACATGTAGCCTGGTTTACTGAGTGCAGTTACTGCTTCTCCATGCATTGGTGGGTTATGGTGAACAAGTAAATGCTGCTTTTTCTTTCTTTCTTTTTTTTTAAAGGGCTCCCCCTGCTGTACGCTTACTGTAAACTAACAAACTGTTTTTAAACAGTACTTCTCCGGCTGGATGAGGGGAAGGCAGCCTGTGTGGGCTCGACTCTGTCGGCCCTGCAGAAGCAGCTGTCCCGGCTGCCTGTGCCTTACACGGAGCAGCAGGAGGAGGCCGATGAGTACGGCCTGTGCCGCTGCAGCGCTGCCTTGACTGTGTTCACAGAACCTTTTGTGGAGGAGGTGAAAAGGACAGACGGAAATTGTGCTGCTACAGCTGAAGATGAGGAGCTAAAGATTGAGCTTCTGAAGTTGTATGTTTCTCTCTGCAACTCTGTTTATTTGTAGTTATTATTATTAATGATATTAAATACAAATGACAAAGCAAAATGACTTAGAATTGAATAACTGAATACATTCTCTGTTTAGCTGCATGAGGAGTTTGAGAGAGCCTTTGCTTGAGGCTGAACTGAAGCACGACAGAAGATCACCATTGTGGCTCTTTGCAGTAGAGATAATGGTACGGGCAAAGTCACTTCACTTTACTTCTATTTTTTTTATTTAGAACACAACATGTTTTAGTTATTTAGTCCCAAGTCACATGTGTGCATTGCAGGTCACACTTTCTGCAATCAAAGAGCCTCTTCCGGAGCTCTTATTCTTCAGCTCACTGAGGGAAAACATCCTGATGGACAATAATCAGTTCAAGGAGGCGAGAGCATGTCTGGCTTATCTGCTGTTTGTTCAGCTCATTACCATTGACAACTTTCCAGCAGTGTTTAGGTAACGTGAGCAGCCACATTTTACTTACTTAAATTTACTTTCACTAAAAACTATTAATGTTGAACTTTTCCTGCCTTTCTAGCCATGTGTTTATTCTCCAGTGCAACATGGAATACATCAGTCATCTGCTCAGCAGGTATGCTGTTAACACAACATTAAGCGAACATGTTTTCTGTTTTAGAACAAACTTACAATCAGAGTCATATCTGTGTTTCTCTGACAGCAAAAAAGAATCACATTTGCTTAAAGGATTGGTAAGAGCCCATCAGTATGAAAAACATCTGAAAGCAGAAGACTGAGTTCATTTTAATTGCCCATAATTATCTATTATTAGGCGCTGTTCACAAAAAGCTTGGAGCGTGTGCAGGACAACAGCCTCCCAGTGAGTCTGCTGGATCTGAAGAGCTTCTACAGTGTGACACAGGTAAGACAAGCAGCCGTGCCAGACTCATTTCTATTTCTCAGGCTGCATACACACACAGGCCGGAGCAGCAGAATTACAGAAAAGCCTGAGATGTCTTAAGTCTGTTTGCATATTCACTGAGATCACTGGCAGTGCATGCATGTCACTCTGTGACCTTCACCTGTAAGGTCAAGGTCACTGAGATTCAAAACCTGTCCGAGATTTTTCGTGGTTGCTTCTATGGTATGAATTTAAAAATCCTAAGTTGGCTCATTCTTGAGCTATTATTTACAAGATTTTTAGAAACTTGACCTTTCCTTGAGTTCAAGGTCACTGAAAATCAAACTCATCTGATACTTTTAGTAGAAGCAATTTCCAAGCAAGCAAATTTCAAAATCCTCATTCTCGAGGCCAAGCTGCTTTAGGTAAAGAACTGACAGCCAATCTGCAGCCTACCTCAGTTTCATAGGGTTTTATGTTTCATTGTTTAGCTGTCGCACATAAACCATTTGTTGTTCACACTCACTACTCTCAGTGCTTTTATCCTCAGCAGGCAGCTGTTTTCAGTGAAAGGCGCTTAAGAAATCAAAACAAGCTAGTCAAGTAACTTAAGCAACCCAATTGGCAAAAACAAAGGGAGCTCCAAATGAAGCTGAAGAATGCTCGCTTGCACTCTAAACTGCAGGATGGATCCGTGTCTTTAACGTGATACAGCTCTCTGCTCCCCTCTAGTGGCCTAAAAATGTTATTCAAAAGCTACAAAATAAGCATCAGTGAGTAAGCTGTTTTTTGTTTTTTTTAACGTGATGAGACTTTGAGACTCAGCCTGTGAAGTGGCTGTAAACTATAATATTATAGTTGTAACATTTACTGCGATTCACAGCTGTAGCTGACTTAAATGACTCAACCATAACACCGAAAGCTCAGTGAGCTGTTTTGTGCTTAAATTCTCAGAACCTGCGGCGAGTTCTTACCGACTGCCCAATACAGCACTTGGTGAGTGCTTCATTAGTGGTCAATATGGGGAAAATGTTTGACTTTTGCTACACTATAAAAGGCATACATCTGTTCGCTCTTCCGTCTGATCATTGCTCCCCCAGAGAGAATCGGGCCTGCAGGTTTTCCAGGTATTCATCAATAAATTAGATGCAGAAGCAAAGCACAAATTCTTCAGGTGAGAAAAACAGTTTCAATTGCAGTTGCAATTTCTTTCCAGGTGTGAAATTAACGCCCATTATACAGCTATATATAGACTACTTTAACACTTTATTAAAAACAAATGGCCCACAGCATATTCTTAACTTGTCCCTCTATTAATTTACTGCTGCTTCTCTCCATCTAGCGTTTCCAGTTACACTCCAGCTGACAAATGTTTACAGTATTCTCTTAGTCTTCTAACACTTTAACGTAACGCTTGCTGTTTTTGGTTTTTTGCTGTTGTTGTAGGTGCATGTTAAAAACCAGCAATCACGCAGGAATAGAAAGTTATATAATCAAGAACATCAGGAATCAATTTGAACTTTCTATGAAGGTGAGAAAAACACGAGAGTCACGCCATAGCCTGCATTTTTTTTCTCTACACGTTAAATGTACTACAACTCTTTTACAGTGGGGTAACGCCAATGAGTGGTTCTTGGGAACGGAGTTTATTTCACTGATGACGCTGGTGCTGTGCTTGCCACAAGGTGCTCAGACAGATTTGCTCAGCAGTATGGACAAGTGAGTAACGAGAAAAGTTTGAAGCATTATTACAGCAGACTGGAGGAGGTGGAACCTGGTTACCTGATGCACAAAGTCAGTGGAGTGAGACGTAATTATAATTCTTGATTATGGCAAAATCGTAAACATGGATACTTTGGCATGTGCTGAGAGCATAATAGTAGCTTTATTATACTTTAAAAAGAAAAAACTTTTTTTAATGAAGCAAATTCCATTTAACTGTCATTATAATTACAACCTAGACTTTGGGACACCTGGAAATTGAAATAATTACCCTTAAGTACCCCGCCTCTCGCTCTATGACAGCTGGGATAGGCTCCAGCGCCCCCCGCGACCCTGAAAAGGATAAGCGGAAGCGAATGGATGGATGGAATATAGGCTCAAAGGCATCCTTAGAATATTTTGACCTTTGAAAGAAATACAGAAAACCGTATCTGCTACCAAAATACATGGAGTTAATGGCTCAATCTGGATGAAGCTTCCCAGTTCACACAATCACAGACTTTTGTCTTTGAATCTCTGCAGGACAGTTTTTAACTTGATTAGATCTGAAGTTGAAAATTGCTTTAATTTAGTTCCATTAAGTAGCACTCTTTGTTTATCCAGGGTAATGGAGAGCCTAAATCTGCTACGCTATGTTCTTATCAGAGACGAAGAGCTGAGAACCAATGTAAGTAAGTCTAATACAAAGCTTTCAGTTAATGCCTGGTTAGGGCAGGACGCTGATCATCTGTTCTGCCTTCCTTTAGGAAGATGTGTGGGAAGAGTTGTGCAGGATCAAAGAGGAATACCTAAAAATGCTGCGTGTATGTATCAGCATATCAAGAGCGTATTATTCCTCTGAACTGAAAGCACTGAGGGAGGACCAAAAGCTAAAAGCAAAAGGTAGGACTTAGCTACTAATCTGTGTGACAAATTTCTAGTGAAATAAGCTTTACACGAATAGTTTAAGAGTCTATTTTTATACTGTCAACACTTCCTATTGCCCAGAAGCCAGAGATGCTGCTCGACCCACTAAATTAGTCAAAAGCATCACAGTAAGGAAGGAGAAAGTGTCCAACATGTCCCCGGAGGTCCAGCATCAGGTCAGGAAAACTCTTCTAATTTAATAATTTTCATTTATGTTTTGGACTCTACGACTAGCAAGCTGACTTTTGTCATGTTTCTCAGGTGCTGCAGAGTGCTTTGGTGACATTTGACCTCATGGAGAGTCTTATAGTCCGAATCGAAGAGATCACAGAGGAAAAGCAGAACAAACTAAACTGAGGCTCTGAATTCAGACCCTTCAATATTTTTCTAAATATATCTTTATTTGGTTTGCTTTGTTTGACTGAATAAAGTGTGTGCTTATATACAAGAATGTATACAAGATGATACTATATACTGAAATGTCTGCTTTTCTATGTTCAGCACATTGAGCTCCTGCTGGTTAGCATTAAATAAAACATGTCGAATCACCTGCCTGGTTTTGCAGCATGTCTCTTAACATTTCCCACACAGGACTGCTTTCAATGATGTGAGCCCGAGCCAGAGAAATCCGGTCCCGGATGCTGTCTACATGGGGTTTACTGGTGGCCTGCAGGAAGGTGTGGCTTAATTTAATTCAAGGTTTCACGAAGACACATCAGTTTATCTCATTTATATTTAAAATATACCAAATAGCTGCGCCTCCATTGTTACCTTGGCAATTGTTAACATCCCTTTAACAATTTCATCAGTGTTTTGCACAGGCAGGATCCTGAGATTGCTGCCAAAGAATCTGCGAGAGATAAAGACGTCCTTAGTACGATATAGTTATTCTGTTTTCAATATAGAACCTTTAAAAACAAAATCCACAAATTCTTTGACAGACAAGAAAAAAAGCAAAGTTAGGGGAGATAAAATACAAAAAAGATACCAATAGCAATAATGACAATTAAAAAAACAATTACTCTGAAAATACTTACAGAGTCATAAATATCTATGGTTGATTTTTCAGAGGCTATTTATTCTCCTGTAGCCTGCTTATTGGTTTGAATATGTAGATAGCCATATAATCAACATAGAAGTTACTGTAGGTGGACAAATTTCAGGTTGGCAATCAATAGACAAACTAAATAATAAAGAACCCGGGGCTGACCCATGAGGTACTCCGACATCATCATTATTATATCCTCAAGCTGCTGTCACAAAGCCTTGTAACCAGAGCGTTAGAATCAGTTAAGTAAAGCAAAAATGACACAACATGACTATTAATCTACCGGTTTTGAATCACAGTCAGCGTTTCCAGCTCCTTTTTTCCTTTAAATGGTGAACGAAGGAGTAAAAAGCAGTTGCGGTGGACTTGCACAAATTTCTTTATCCTCTCAAAGACTCCCGATTCTTCAGAGGGCTCTGGGAGGTCTTGCGGGTCAACCATCAGGAATGCAGTACCTGCAATAAATAAAAAACAACAACAACAACAAAAAACCTCACACACACATATATATATCTGTAAGTATGGGCTTTAATTCTGCCACAATCAGGGATCAGACCAAACGAGTTACACTCACACCCTCTCCTCTGGTGCTAAATTAATGTATATGTAGGAGTACTTTTACTTAATCACTTGAAACATATTTTGATGCTAAAACATTCCCACTAGGCTACTTAAATAGGATTATGACTTAAGTAAAGAGTCTAAATCAGGGGTGTTAAACATAAGGCCCAGGGGCTTTAGGACAGCTTTAGAAAATGTGAAAGAGTGCAAAGATTTAGAACTTTTAACTGCATTTTCATAAGTTTTAGAGCTTTCCCAGTTGATATAAACCCCGACCCCCCACTACCATCACACTAAACCAAAGTATGAGGTCATTTACTGTGAACAATGAAAACTTTACATTACATTATTAAAATCCACTGAGTGTCTTATAGAAAACAGAATAATGTCTTATAGTGGGTTATAAAATACACGGCAGGTGTACTGGGGGACTCGGGTTTACCCGATAGAGGAAAAATGAAGGCTCCGGGATGAACACTGTCTGAAAACCTGATGCGGTGCTGCTGAGCGTTTAGCATCCTAATGATTTCGTGGCTCTGTGGAAACAAAATGAAGATAAGTTAACTGCTAGCATCGTTAGCTGGTACAGTTCTTTATTCAAAGTCAGAGGTGGGCAAATAACTAATATTTCACGTATTTTGTCGGTGCTAGTGCCTTGGCTTCATGGCTAAAGCTCTTTATGTTAACTTATTTTTTTATAACTGCCACCAGAAACCGACCAAGCAAAACATTTTGACGGTTCAGGTTAAACTTTCTAACATTACCTGAAGCGATGTGCTGACAATAATCGTTGTTTTCCACTGAGGAGTCCCTTCTCCGCATGTCGCCATTGCCTGCTAGTTATTAACAAGTGAACGACACGGTTCCGATGACGACACTCTCAACCCGGTTTTTGGTCCAAAGCTGTTCCTGCAGCGGATTCAGCCGTCTGTTGTGTCATGCCACCAGGACGCCACCAGGGGGCGCTGCGGTAAAACGTAACGTCCTGTTCATCCATAAAAGCGTGTGTTTTGTTTAATTTCCCTTTCTCCTTTAAATGGGGCATGAAATAAAAAGTTCCTGTAATTATCTGCCATTCCAAATACCAGCTTTTTTAAAGCTGAAGTTAAAAAGTGTTAAGTTTAAATATGGACCAATTTGTAGACTTCAAAACTTAAAATATTAAAATTAGACAAATGCTGGTCGTATTTTGCTGTCATGCAATTAAAAATAAAGTTTGGGACGTGCAAGTGCTAATGCATATTTATATTTCTAGCCGTAGTCTGAAAAAAAAATGCACAAAGTAGTCAACTTGACCCAAAGTTATTAATCACACTGCTCATTTCTTTCAGAAACACAAACTTTTATTTTCAGTATGACACTAAATGCAAGCCATGAGGCTAATTTTATTCTTCTTTAAGAAATTCAGTTCTTATTATAATTAGAAGACTGTCAACAAAGGATATTTCTGAAAAGGAAATATAGTTCTGACCCTTATTCTTTTCTAGAGCTTCTGAAGCAACACCAATGAAACAGTCAAACATACAAAAATGTCAGCATGCATAACAAGCCTGTTTGTGTTGAGAAACAGCCCAATAAGGGCACTATGAGGAATGCAAATAAACAGAATCCAGAGTTCCGTAGAGTCCAACAAAAGACACCAGTCATAAGAACAGAGACAAAATTATATTTTAAATTATAATAAAATAAGACAGAAATCAACGTAATGACATTCAGTTCAAACAGAAGGCGTCAACTGTCCGGCAGGGCTCTCCTCTGAAGTCAGTGATGTGTTTCTAGCTCCACGATGGTCCACTCTCCCTGTGGAGAAGCAGCATCTTCTGGGGAGAAGCTGGTTACAGTAATGCTAGTGGAGGAGTCCTCCATGGGTGAGATAAGCTCCGCCCAACGTTTGAAGGTCTCCTTCTCTGGGGACAGGAAAGCCTGCGAGTCCAGACAGTCACGTGACAGAGACAGAGTCTGCTTGATAAGATACTGGGCCAGGTTGAGCTCCTCAGGTACGGGGTTTATGACACCCAAATTGGACGCGTGGTCTGTCAGGAGCTGCTTGAGCAGGCTCCAGTCCCGCTCGGCAAAATCGCTGCTTTTATCCCCATCCCCTGTTTGCTTTTCTTCCTCTGCTTGCCGTTTAACATTCCTGTCCTTGTCCGAAAAGTGCTCAATAGCTTCCCCCACATCCATCTCGTAAATGGGGGACAGGGCTTTGGATGGTCGGCGGTCATGTTTGCAGCTTTGATCCAATCTGTCACAACCAATGTCCCCTAAAAACAATTGACAATACTGCACAATGACAAACTGAATCATTCCTGCACAGGTCTTTTACTCAAATCAGAGACTAATCGCTGCAAACTAAAATTAAAAAAAAAAAATTAAAAAAAAAACATGACAGAAAATTTACCCTTAATGCAACTGTTCCCTTTAAAACACACAACAACAAAAAAACAAACAAACAAACCCCACAAAACCCCGTAGTGATGTCAGGTGACGACAACACAGTGAGCGAGCAGTGATACTGATGATCACATATGATTATCACCACAAATTTCAAGTTCATCAGTTCAAAACTCACTCATCACTTTAGATATGCACGTCAAAAGGCAAACAGTTGCTTTGAAGGTAATGTACAGAGGTTTGCTTTGCAGGATGCATCTCTTTATCCACCTGTTCAAACAAAGTAAGCCATGCACTACCAGCACCAGTGAGCTTTGCATTTGCCAGAAAGTAACAGTGATATGTTTTGATATTCACGTGCAGGCAGACGTAAGAAACAGACTTAAATACTGTCACAGAAACCGAAATGCGAGCAACAATGCTTTTACTTAGTTGCACAAAAGATGGCATAACACCATGTTTCTTTAGACATTCTCTGTCTTCTCTACTTTTAACAAATTACAAAAATGGCAAAAGACTGATAATTACAAAATATTTCATGGTTGCATAGGGATAAACCCTTGGAAGTGGTGCAGCAGGACTTCTTTTTCAGGAATATGATAGTGAAAAAAGAGAGACATGGCAGGACAATGAAGACTGCTCTAGACACACGTTACGTACGTTACAGAGGAGGCTACTGACACTACACAAAACCTACTGAACAGAAGTGTATAGACAACAAAACACTTTCCTTAAAAGATGGACCTCTACGTGTCTAGACACAGGTCTACTGGGTATGATGGAAGTTGATGGAAAAATCAAAATATAAAACATAAATAAAGGATGGTGCTGATAATGATAAAGCAATTTCAACAACGGCATGCATGTGTGCTGTGCAAAATTGAAAAAAAGGTAAACAAAAGTCAGAAAGAGGTACAATCTTGAATACAAATAAAAAGAAACAGAAAAGCCAGGGAAACGTTTCCTAGCATAACAATCTTTTCTGAGCAGCAGTGGCAGTTTGGTGTCATCTACTTTGTACAAACAGTTTGTATATTTGGACTTTTAAGTCAGGTAGTTACTCTCCAAAGATTTGGAAGAAAAAGGAAAAGAAAAAAAAAACCCTAACAAGTAATTTACCTGATTACAATTTTGAAAAGGTGCTACGTATAACATTTTAACACCAAAAAAATAAAAATAAAATCATCTATGAACAACAAAATAAAACATCACTCTGCTGCAGTTTCACTCCCACATGATTCTCAGTCTTACTGAAGATTTGAGGTAATCTGTTTCCATGTAATAAGACATTGAACATCTTTTATTACAGTCTGGTGTTTCCATGCGTAGAAGCACTTAAGTGCAACATTGTGACAACCATGAAAGTGAATCAATGCGCCAAGCATTAGTTTTTCTTAATGCGTCTCTTTGCCATGTTTTTGCTCAGAAGATGGATGTCTACTGTTCAGTGCAGCAGTCATTGTTATAATGTTGTGCTAAATCCTCTCCCTCTTTTTAAGTACTTGTACTTTTATTTAAAAAAAAAAACAAAAAACAAAAAAAAAAAAC